ATGTACATATTTTTCCGAAAATTTTCGACTCCGAATGATTCTCAGTTTGATGTTAATTAATTTCAAAATACACTTCCAATCCCACAGTTCAAATAAGATTATCAGTATAAGGTTGTGGAGATTGTTATTATCATTATTATGAAGATCATAATAATCGCCTTAACCCTATAATAATGATTGCCATGTGCTCACTAGTGACTGGCTTTGTGAGCGAATTCTCAGAATTCTAGTGAGAAGCCGTGATCAGTGAAGCTAATCCATGTCCGAAAGAGACAGGTGTCTACCCCAGACAATGGAAGATGGTCTCTCAGTTTCGTGGATTGGTTGAGATTCGACATTAACACCGCTGGATGCCGGTTAAGTGGTCTAGAGGTTAAGTGTTCGCACGCAAGACTGAAGGTCCCGGGTTCGGATCCCGCTAGAGGGATCTTGAGCGCACAGCTGAGGAGGACGAAGCAGCTGTCCAGTGCTTCCAGGTTTTCAGTGGTGGTCTAACATCAACCTGTTCATGATTTCAATCAAATAATCTTACTTCTTATCCGTCACCAACTGATGTGTTTGACTGACTTCATTAATACAAAATTATGTTGTTCATGCTTAATGACAAAATATGTCATCAAGACTAAATATTTCTGACGAAAACATACACGTTTTATGATTACTATGCGATAGAAAAACCAGTTTTTCTATTCAAGACCATATGGTAGTGAGAAATTCAAATTTGAGTAGATCATTGTAAATAAACATGTTATTCACTAATCTAAGGTCACACTTCTCACATATGTTTTCCAGCATTATTGCAGTACTATGTACATACAAACTTAGTTTATGTACACATTCTTTAAATGTTAAAGATAAAGTTTCTTACTCATTCTTAGTTATCTTACTATCCCTATCAAAGTTTAAAAAGTGCTTGCATTAAAAATTATAACACTATATCATGTACTATTTCAAGTATGTACACATGAACTATGAAACTGATGATTTGTTTGTTTTTCAATTTTTCAGAGCAATTTTTATCATTGAACTTACTACTCATATTACTTCAATAATCCATTAGTATAATTCTACATGAAAAATTATAAGTACTAAATATTCTATGTATTCTATGTATTTAGCGTGACTGAAATTATTGATTTATGGAAGATTATATACTTAACATTTAATAAACTCGTTAATGGTTATTACTATGGCTGAAATCTTTGAAAGAGTTCTACGATTTCTATGATTAACATATATGTTAAAAGATTCAATGAACTTTGAACCAATTGTTTCCATAGATCCAATAGAAAACATGTTTATTCATTCATAACAGGAAACCTTGTACTTAGCTTTTGTACTAGTTAACACTTTACAAAGTTTCCTGCCAATTACATTAATCATTCAATATTGCACCTGAAATTGAGTCATTCACATTAGTGTCTACGTTGAAATTTGACAAATAGAATTGCATTAACACTAAGGAACTGGACAATCATGGTATTGTAAATCTACTTAACAAATCTTTACACATTTAGAACATCAACTTGAAGGCAGTAAACACCTAATCAATAGAAGTGATAACTTATTAGTTTTAGATATATTTGTTAAAAGAAAAAGATGAAATAGAGATCAATTAAATCAATCTTTCTGGTGTTATTTTACTGATCTATATTCAAAACATCATAATAATGAATTCTAGAGTTTAGATAACTTAGCTAAATAGTAAATTGATGATAAATGATGATGATTATCATCATTATCATCGTCATGTAGAAATCGTAGTAAACATGACAACAACAACAACAACAACAACAAAAACAAAAAAGTGTATACAAACAACATTCTCTATGAATTTTTAACTATCAATAAGAATAAACACATTGTGAACACATACAATGCTCTATTTGTATTTATTATTTCGTTTAAAATTATAAAAAAAAATAGAGAGAAACAACAACAACAACAAAAGATATTTGGTTTGTTTCTTTTTCATCAATATTCATTCATTCGTTCATTTATTCATTCATTCAATGTTCAACTGATGAAATAATTTGCATATAAATTGGATTACATTTTAATGGATGACTTTTAACAATATTCTGAATGATAGTGATCATATGATTGATTGTTTGTCTTTTCTTTTTCTTTTTAATTAAACATTACTTATCATATGGATAAGATAATCAATGTGAATTAGTTATTTTGATGAGTTGATGTGGAATCATTAAGAAATTGTCTGAAATTAGAAAGAGAAATGAATATGCAAAGATAGATAATGGAATCCAGGATTCGCATTATGTTTTATGTAGGACACATCAAATGGATGTACCTACACCTCAGAGTTAATGTTCACTCTGGGGATCGAACTCAGTACCGTTCGTTTCAAAATTCACCGCGTTATTTACTTAGCTACTGAGTTCTGATAGTCAAACAAATATTACTAAGTGAATTTAAACTTCACCGCATTGCACAAGGAAGTGGCTATATACTAATAAGAGACTGATCAATTACAGTTCTAAACATCAGTGGGAAGATTCAAACAAACAATACTAAATGAAGTTAGAGAAATGAATAGTTAACACAGTGAGATTATGATTGAGATTATGAACCGATTGATGTTCGGTCAGGATTGAAAACCTGGAAGCAATGCACAGCCGTTTCATCTTGTTGTGAGCTTTATTATAGAGATTCGCTACATATATATTTTAAATGTGGTTCATATTAGAATAAAAGATATGGATTTCATCACATCCAGAAGTTGTCAAATAAATGTAATCTCAGCTCATTGTTGGAGTTAAACTCAACACTTCAGCTTTAAATGAACAATAGGATTTTCTTTTAAGCTAAATTAATCAACAGATATGGTGTTTGTCAGTGTTTGTAATCTTCAGATTTTTCTATTTAAGATGAATATTTAGTAAAAGAAAATCAAAATCAAAATATCCTCAATAAATGACATCATTTAAAAAGACACTTTAGTGTTCTTATCATATAATATTTACGGATCCGCTTTAAGTGGTTTACTTGTGATCATAATAACAATTTTAGTTTGATTGTGATATAGTCAGCTAGGTTCGATTATCATTACATACGGATTGAACGAGATTGCAACCGTTTTCTCAGTCAATGACACTTTAGAGTTGACCGACCTAGTTTAACTAAATATGTACCATTATTGTCACCAAGAAAAAGTATGTATATATATCTTGTTTAGAAGTTCAGAACTGTCCTAAATCCAAATTACAAACAAACTTCATATTATTACCGAAAATGAAGATAATTTCTAAAGAATATCAAAAAGAATACAAATCAATGAAGTATTTGATGTGCTAATTAGAATAACAAGTTAGTTGGAATATATGGCGTTGTTGAGAAGTAGTGATTTAAGGAAGCTTATTCTCATTATAATTTCAATATCACATTCTATTGAAGAATCATACAACACTAATAAATCTCTTAATACAAAACAACACTGAATGATTCTTATCATAATTCAACTACATCAAAATTGTGTTCATAGTATTGAATAGGATTGAATACAAATTATTAGGAAATGATACTTAACAATTTAGTTGTAATAGTTTAAGTGTATTCATTATTTCTCAACAATTAATTCATTTGTTGTTATTTAACTCAAAGTCCATTTACAAATTTTATAGATCAAACGAATAATCATTGAATAGTAAACAGTTATATGATTGGTAATGATTCCAATCATATGTATATTTACATTGTAACATTTAACTTTATTTCAAATCGTAGTTGGAATACTTCAATACGGTTTGTGACATTCTTTGGACATTTTTTTTTTAGAATTTTTACAACTTTTTATTCAAAAAACAGAAGGTAAGTGTAATGAATTATCCATCGTTGGATCTCGGTTGTTGATGAAAACTCTTTTGATAGTGAATTAGCTTCTATAATCCAATTAACTGTAAAATAACCATGTACTCATTTAGAAATGACGTTCAGATGAATTATAGAGGTTCTTCAGGGTAGTTATGATTATTGTCGTTGTAAGATCATTGTGTAGTATTACAATGGACATGAAGCTACAATAGGATACTATTGAATATCAATTCACTGGTTAACGATTGAAATACTCATGGTATTACGCAGATATTCTAAAGTTTGATTCTCTGTAGAATTGTAGATGCATACTTGAGTGGATTTGAGCCAAATATCTCTTCAGTAATTCAATGTTCTTGATGATACTTCAGCAAATGTGAGTATGTGATTTGACCTGTATACACAATAAACTAATAATCAATTGTGGTGATTAGTTTTGTTTGTTCAAAGTAATTCATAAATTTCACTTGTCCTTTTCGGCCAGACTTCGAGTAAAAATTCTAGATACACTCTCTGAACAATTCGTCCGTAAAATATGATGCCAATAGATTGATTTTAGTCTTACGATTAAGTGCTATGGGTTATGATCCTTATATACAATCTACAAAATTAACTATTTGATGAGCTCAACATTACCATTTTAAATGTCATCAGTACTAGATAAAGTTATCTGGATTTAGTACGTAAACCTCAATTCCATGTTCTCGATTCAATTTGATTATTCATTATGGACTGCTTGCCAATTAATTATCACAGTCAACACATTGATAAATAGAAACGAATTACTATATTTATCATACCTACTGATACTCTTCGGGAAGGTTGTATTAGCTTATCACCAATACGATTATGTAAACTTTTAAAACATTAGTTGATATGCCACTTATCACACTGCTGATGGGCCCCATTGTAGGACGAAATGGTTATCCAGTGCTTCTAGGTTTTTAATGGTAGCCTAATATTGATCGATTCGTGATCTTAATCAAGAGTTAACAATATCCACAACCCTATACTGTTGTTTATATTAATAGTTATTCTATACGTGAACTTTTATTTCGCTATTACTATTTAATTTCTGCTATATTATATGTGTTGTAGAAACAAACATATTTCAGTCAATAAATGTAAATTGAGATCGTCAATAAACCCCATCAATATTGTTCTGCAATATGGGCTTCAGAATAAAGCATATATTTCATCAGAATGCTCTGCAACCCAAACTACCATATATAGCGATGGTTTGTTTTCCATTGAGATTATCATTGAATTTTAGGTTTTAATACTTACTAGTGTACTATCAGTTATATCAATGATTGTTACACTAACCTTATCCCTGTTGTAAGTTAAATGATAATCGAAATTATTATTCACTAGAAATGGCGAGTTTAAAACGAATACATGTATAACAATTTTCGCAGGTGTATTCAAGTATGTTTAATTTATACTTACATAATGTGCTTATATTCAATCATTATATCATTATTAATGAACATAATATTACAGCAATTTACAATACTAAGTAAGCTATTTCTATATATTACATTATCCAAATAGGTTTCAATACATTTTAACGTATTGTTAATTGTTCAACTAAAGATCATACAGATTTTGTTCATAATGTAAGTTGAATAATCATAAATATCACCAATGAGTGGATATGTATGTATATGAACATATTCAAGTTTAATATCTGTTGTATCTTATTGGAATATATTTTACATCATCACAAATCTGTATAAATCCATTCAAATGTTTCTTTGTCTTAAGTTGACTAGAATAGAATGTTACAAATATATTCGTTTTTCTCTTACATGTAATTAACTTTACAAGTGGAGTCTATGAACTTGTAACAAGATTCTTGTTACAAAATAGTTTATATTATCAAAGGAATAGAAGTATCAAGTGATAGTTTACCCGTCATCAGTTATGTTGAATAGGTAGACATTTTATCATTCCTTTAAAACTTCCATCAAACATTCATACACATAACATATAAAATAATGTGAGGGTATGGATCAATAAGTTAACAAGTTTGAATATGTACTGGTTGGACATGAATTAACTGCAAACAAGACGGCTATTGTTAAAATCTTTCGTTTCAACTGGACATGACATATAAGAGAAGACAATTCAACTTATGATAAGAGAAAATTTCTATTTTCAAAAAGTATCACCCTTTTCATACATTTTTTCAACTTGAAATTATAATCTATATATAAGTAACTAAACTATTTACACTTATTTGTTCAATAATAAAAAGGATTCTTTAATAATAGGGTTCTGGTCACGTAGTCGCATGAATTGAAATATAACTTATTATAATTTCTACCTCGTAGATCAGGAGTTTGTGCTGATGATGTCGTTTAGAAGAACGATGAAAGCTTCACGACCAAAGCATCCAGCTCAGAGAACATAACTCTATCAAAATTATCCACCTGAGCTACAAATCTTCTCCACCATCTCAGGACTTTAAATATTGGCTTCTAAATAGGTCAACTATTACTTTATAGTCGTTTGCTATTAAACTTGGACAACACATTCTTATCCAAAATATTCTGATGTAAAACCAATTTTTCAGTGATTTACAATTCTATATTTCTCTATCTCAAATTAAGATGAAATTTGAAAAAAAGTATTTCTTTTCATCTAGCTACTGAGTATTCCATTTAACTAGTCTGATTTAAGCTTTAAGATTTCAATAGTAAACCGTATACTATGCCACCAAATCCTTTTCAGAAAAGAATAATCGGTTTTAGTGAGCATTTGTTGCGGATTACTCCGAAATGAACAAACCACTCTGAATATATATATATATATATATATATATATATATATATGTATATGTATATATATATATATATATACACTTGTAATCCATTAGATTAAATATGAAACATATCACCTTCATTAGGAATCCTGTATCATAATCGCCTATTTGATGATAGAAGAATTATAAACATTACCATAAATCCTGAATTAGATCCACTATTACAGGATGCATACTACTGATAAGATCCAATAATAGAACTACACAGTTTACCTATGTTCTAGCTAAAAACATTGATTCATAACTAAGTGTTAACAGTATTCTTTTATTTACAATTAGATTATTTACATAACATTGATCATTATTATCTATAATTTTCAAATCAACTGAGTCTACTTACATATTCTTAATATTGTTATGATGTATTCCGATGTTCTACTCACTATGTTATTAAATATACACAAATAACAAGAAATACATATTGAATATAATATTGTTTTTTCAGTATCATTGGTTTTTTTCTAGGAATGATGTTGGTTATTTTACAGAAGATGAGAGAAACGTTTCCCTTGAATATAATAATGTTAATTTTATACGTGAGAAACTATTATTTCACTAATAATCATTTATTATTTATAATAATTATATCTTTTTAATCGATATGGTTGGTGAAATTATTTTAAAGTGTTTAGCACTTGAAACATCATTATGTTTGAAACATGTTAATTGACATAGATGACGTTGATATAATTTTGAACTACATTTAACAATAGAATACAATATACATTGATTGGAAGTACAAACCTGCGGTTGACTCTTTTTGGCGGTTACTAGACCAGTAAAGGAATATATGTCTACCTCATTATGTATATATACTGGTTCGTTGGGATGCATATTATAAAACAAAACACAGTTTTTTTTTCTTTTTCTTTTCAAATACAAAGAAATAAGTCCACATGATCGAACTATTCAGAATAGTTAACATGTGTTCAAATTATCAGGGAAATATGGTTGGACAATCATAAATTCATCTTATAACATACATTATTCTGTAATATCAATGTTGACTTAATCATGATCAGCAGCAACTTTTATAAAGCGACATAATTTCTATTTGAAGAATGAAACCATCTCTATTACAAAATTGACGATTGTTTGTCAATTTTGTGTTTAGTGATTACAAGTTTCTGTTGAGTTTAGCTATAGTGCATTCAGAGTGCAAGTAAAATAAAGACGCAACGACATTTAAAAGCACTTTAGTACATGTGTAAATCTACAGATTTTTAAAATAACATGGGACTTAAGAGGTTTCCAGTTGTTTAGAAGTCCCTGAGAAATAATCAGTTTAACTAGATTAAGCTACCACAGTACATCTACCATATATTCAATTGCTTCAACATAGTTCCTCGATATTACTTTGTTTATGCTGTAATATAATTAACCAAAGGTATGCAGTAATAGAGGAACAAACACTCTAGACATACTCGAAATGCTTCCGATTTATTTACAGTATGATCTATCGTATAGCTCCATCATTTCCCAACAAAGTTTGTTCCCGTCTCCTTTATATAGCTGAAGCCATAGGAATTCGTAAATATAACTCTTGACATAGCAGGTGTCAATCTAAACAAGTTAACTGATTTACGACTAATAAACTAACAGTTAAAAGAAAATATTCTTATTGAACTCTCTTTATTGTTTATTAAAAATAGTCAAAGCTGAATAATTCCAACAGTTTGACAGATTTTATGAGCTCAGGTTTACAAGTGTTAGTAACAACTCACGTAGATAGACCTGTGTGTAAATTATTCCGTAATGATATATTTATGATGTCCCAACAATTAGAATTTATGACGTTTCGCTGATTAGTTCCAGTATTTTCTTCATGAAATAAATAAATGATCAAATTTATTAAATACAAAACTAAATAGTACAGAGGGCTAAAATAGAATATTGAGTTCATTTATAATCAAAATATCTTATCAAGCCGATGTCATCGAATTATCTAGTCAATATGGTTCTGTTAGAGATTGCACTGGATTGATTTGTACCCTTATCTATTTATAAAATACATTTCATAAATATCCTAACAAATATTTAACAAATGCTTTCTAATTTCTAAATAGGGATTGGCTGTATCTGCAGCTCAAGGATACTCTATCATCAATGTGGAAGTTCCAGTAAAAGCCATAGCATGGGTTATTGCTTTTGTGTTGCTTTCGATTTTGGTCCCGATAGGTTTTGTTATAAAGACTGACTTAAGTCAATATACAAGTGTATTTATTATTTACTGTGTTGCCGAACTTTCCACAATCATGGTGGCATTTCTCGGTCTTATTATAGCAGGTTACACACAGGTAAGTCATCCTAAATCTTAAAAAGAATTAATTAATCTAGATCACTAATTACATATTTCAGCTCAGACTTTTACACATAATCGTTAATTGGTCACAAATTATTGTAATATGATATTTCACAATTACTAATTTCATTGTATTTTATGTTTCACAGGTGGCTTTGGCTGTTTTTGTGGCCGGGGCATTTCCCATATTGATTCCTGTGAGTTTCTAGTCATTATAATATTGCAAATTGATTTAAAATGATACAAGGTATTAGTGAATGGAGTAAGTCGTTCATTTACTTAAATTATATTAACTATAAAAGTGACTGCTATGCAGTTTGATTAAGTTATATCTATTTGATGAAATAGTATTTTTGGAGTTGTATCTTATGTTTAATGTGTTTGTAACGAACTAGTATAAATCAAGTACCTTGTTTGTACTCGTTTCTTGATGAATAGTTGAAGGTCTCTGAAACTGTTCAATAAATGTTGCCGAAATATCCTAAGCATTCCGATATATATTTTAACATATTATGATTATCGGATATTCATTAGTTTTTACTATGACACATTCGCTTCGATGACAAGTTAGAACACTGAACTTTCAGAAACCATGTTCATGTAATTTTTGGTATTTTGCTTGAGTCGAAATTTCTGTACTTTCGGCAAAGCGTGATTTGACTAAATGTAATGAAACTGTCAGAAATAAGAAGTGTGTTTCGTTAGTAGTAGCAATCTTCCCTATATCACGGTTTTATATGTTTGAGGTGCTGTGTTTTCTCAGCTCGATTGTTTAATTCTAAAACTTCTATTGTTCTTCTAGGTAACTTCAGCCTCACTCTCCTTAAAAAACGTTGACGTTCAGAATTTTTACACAGTGTCTAACAACTTGTTCTATTGCTTTAAAATTCGATAAGAACTATTGTCTATCAGGGTTTACAGGTTACTGTACAATACTTTCAAATTAAGGAACTTTGAGGTTTTCTAATACGAATAGTTCAATTGCCGACTTGATAATGGGGTCTAACAGTCAACATTTTAGCAATAAGGCGTCAACATAAAAAATACAAAGTTTAGGAGAAATTTGATATTCTAACAGAACAACTCGAAATGATACAGTTCAATATATCCAGTAAAGAAAGCATAAATTTCTCTACCATACAGGAGTTTAGGGAAGTATTTGTAGTGACAACCAATTAGATAAACGTGAAGGTCGTGTAAAAAATTTGGTTAGTAAAAATGCTCTTGTGCTTACTGCTTCCAGTAAGAATTTAGTATTGCTAATTAAAAATGGATAACCCTGTGATTGTCTTAGTAGTTACAAATACCATATGGTCATATCAGCATGTTTATAATGATCTTTTTCCCTCCTGACCTAAACTTTTACCTTACGGTTATTGCCATAATATTTTATTGGTTTATAGATTTAGTCGATCTCGTTACTTCTATGAACTGGAACATGATCAAACTATCGGATTTCTAAGAATCTTCTGATTTCCCTTATGTTTCCTACATCCAGTATTTAAACAATCTCTCAGTCAAACTCTTGTCCATAATTGTTTATATGCGTTGATATCAGGGAAGCTGAGTTGTGGCGTAAATGAAGGTTTGGGAACTTTATCTTGTTTTGTTGCCTCATTAAATGTAATTTATCCCGTAGATAATGTTTGGCTTATCTTTGTTTGTCACTGTGTCCTTTTATTCCTAGCAGTCTTAGTAATCAGTATAGTCTCTGAGATGTTTTACATGTAGGGTAAAATGACTCGTTTCTTGTTTTTTCTATAGGTCTTGTATTTGATGTTCCATTTGATAGACATTTCTTGACCATCTCTTGTGATTATCAGTCCTGCCGAAATGCATCCATTAGGTACTTTCTTTCATTTTTCCTTGTAATGGTTGTGTTGTACAATGTCTTTATTCTTTTTGGAATTGTTTCAATGCAACTTTTAACTTAATAGGTTGTTGCTTCTATAATTTAATATTTGTTAGGTGTGTATTGCTCGTCAATATATGCCAGTTTTCTTATATTGATCAAAAATGAAAGTTCGTTGTATCGTTTCTTTTCTGATATGAATTTTATGTCACCAAATACGTTATTGATCAAATATCAGCACTTTTCAGATGAACTCATTCGATGATATCGAACGTATTGTATACAAAATAATGGTTTTATCGGTAAGGCATCTGCAATTAATCCGGATATCTATGATCCTAATGGATTTTATTTTGTTCGTCTATCAATTTTTTTTCGTTCAACCGGGAATATGTTTTTAGACCTAAGTCTATGGGATCAATAAGGCTTCGACTCTTAAAATTGCTATATTTTGAAAGATTAATATCAATGGAGAGAGGCAAGGATTTGGTAGATTTACTTCAACTGATGTACACAACGCTGTAACATCAAAAGAAATCAATTTGTTATTGGCGATTTGAATATCTTTCATTTTATCTAAGAATTGTGTTGAACATTTGATAGAGTAGTCGAATGAGTTCATCACATATTTCAACATCATTCATATTTCTGTTGAAACACTAAATGTCCTTCAAAGTGTGATGTTTTTTGTAATGTACAGCTCGTATAATTTCGGTCAACCATAACATTGGGAAATAAGAAGTCCATTTGATTTTCTTAGCTATGAATCCTGCTTATTAGTCATCCATCTTTGATTAATCTGTTTTAGAGTACTATAGATATTACCGTCTAGCTTTGGTTGAGATTAGTTTCCATTTGTTGGTATACACTATCATCTCTGAGTAACTTCTTATCGTTCCAAATATAGTCCTTTCACTCATAACTATCGTCGTAGGCTCCTTGTTAGGAGGGATCATGATTGTATTCCTCCTTGTTTTCTGTTTCCGCAGAGCCTTCCATTTTTATGACTTTAGTCGAAAGCAGTCTTCTTTACATCAACTCAAGAACATTACCACTTGTCTTACTTGTTGTTGAGTTTCTTCATTTAGTCTTGATGTTTTAGATGATGAATTCAGCGGTATGAAGAATTTCAGTACCGAAAAATTTAATGTATTGTAATTCAACCCTTTCTGAACTAGACCTTTTGTTTACCTTGGTCAAAGGTTATTTTAATAAGCTTGTTACACAGTTGTTTTTCTCTACTTCAGTATTTTACATATTTTATAATAATTTTGCTTGTTAGATCAATTATGATCTTTCGTTTTTCATTCTATTTTTCAGCTTGCTATTGGTTTTGGGCAGCTTATATTTGGTACAAGTTTCAGTTATACTTACAATCCGGATTACTGTCTGGCATCATTGACTTTATTCACTACGTTATTGGGATTTTTTATTTCCATCAGTGTAGAAGGTCATTTCATTACACGGTTAATCAAAAATAATACTATTGTTAAACTACTGTAAATGTATCGCTAAAAGCATCAATACATATATATATTATTTAATTTGTTAATTATTTATCATAATGATATGGTTTACATGCTTTCACAATGAAGATTCATAAAAGTAAACAAACGTAACACTTTATGTTCTATCATTCAGATTTCAGTTGGTGAAAGGCGTCGTCAAGTATCATATCAACCGTATTAATTTAGCTGAAATTTAATGCTATAGGTTAAAATATAAAATATTGACAAGAATATTCTATAGAACAAATAGCTTGATTTCAGTTATTATTTAATCAAGCATCACCGTTATGAAATCGTTCTTCATTAGTATATATTTAATTAGAAAGTTTAGATTATATATAGATGAATAGACTTAAGGTTACAAATGGTTAGGATGATAAATTCCAGGTTTCTTTTATTCACAAACCTAATTATAAGTAGATTACATATGCACAAATTACAAATTAATATCATCATACCTAATCATATGTAATTTTGACAGAATGATAGTTGAAAAATGGAGTATTATCCGTTAAATATTGAATAAGATTATAACGGTTTCCCTTAATTTATAACAATTCAGAGTTGATTGACTTAGATTAGATGACTATGTATCATCATTCTTTCAAGGACTAATCAATGAAAAGAACACTAACTTGACTTTCCTTCATCTGAGGTGGAGAAATCATTTTAAAGAATATCAGTAAGTTAGGAATGGACTATCAGTATTACTACTGTTGTCAGTAGCACTATTAGTCGTGGGAAGTTGTTCGTGTTTAGTGGGGCCCTTTATTTTTGTTGTTATTTAAGTCGTTTGAATGATTGTTATTGAAATATATATGTCGCCCATCCTCTTTTATAATCACCGACTTTAATCGCGTTAGTCAATAGCGAAGTTAATTAAGTTAAACAACGAGAATGGAATTTTAGATATATATATTCTGTACATGAAGCGAGTGGAATAGAGAGAAGAGAAACGGCGCGCAGTGGAGATGGCTGGTAAGTCAACTCCCATTTAACCAAGCGTTAATTAATATTTGTAGGCACACAAAAATAAGTTACAGACATGTGACGAGTAATGGGATAAGAAGTGTACACATACCTACGCGCTCATATAAAAACAGTCAAGGTTGATAAGCGAATAATTAACAAGGTCAAAATGTGACTCAAGTAGAATGAATAAAATGGGCTGTCCGAAGGCTAGAATAAGGTATATGAGCTTAACATAATAACAGACACTACACGTGTAATAAAGCACAGAAAAAAGTGCTATTTTGGAAGCATTATTCCAATTGATATGTAGTATAAACGCACAAACCTTTACTATGTTGACTTTAGCTTTGATATCATCAGACTATAAATAGGGCTACCAAAAACTTTACTTCGGATATCATGGTAAATTACAACACTCTTTTCAGTTCCAGCATACATTCATTAAACTGTAATATTTATTGTCTTCTGTATGCTACTCAAGACTTCAGACTCTGTGCCAGAACTAAACAGGAAATGTATTTTACACTTGTAGTGAACGAACACTCAACTGGAGAAGACGACTTTATTACTTAATACAATATTAGAGAATGTCTTCATAAAATATGAAAATCATATATTAAATACTTCATTTATACATCTTCCATCAACCGTTTCTGACTAACTTCGTCGTCCCTTCATTATTGTTCTTATTATAGTTACTCTTTGTTTGCATTCCTGTTCTCTTCGATTCAATCTTCTCAACTATTTCACTGTCTGTTAACATAAGTAACATACATCACATACTCAATCAATCTTACGCACCGAGATTATCGTCTTTGTGATTACTACATTCCAATCAACTTAACGAAACCTTTCTTTATAAATATCCTTACTAATTTGTATTATGTTTTAGATAACGATTATATAAATGGTCTTTAGAATTGATTATTCTAGTTTAGCACATTACCTTTCAACTAAATATATTTAAATAATTATTGTATAAGAGTGAAGATCTTAGCAATGACCGTAGCAATCTGGAGACTCCTAAAAGTCATTACGAGTTCTCTAAGACATTTGATAAGACCAATATTCTATGTCCATATGAGTGAATATATATATATTGGTTCTTTCCTATTTACATGTATAAGGAGATTTAGAGGACCTCAGTAATTTCATTAAACATGGTAAACCTATTTATACTTTAAAATCCTAATGTTTTTGTTTCCACAAACAATCCATTTACAAAGTGATTTTTTGATTTTCTAAAAACTATCAGAAAAAGTTCTATGGAGGTTTTTTGGAAATTTCAATAGTTCAAATCATTTGTCAATTGAAACTAGACCACCATGGAAATCCTGAAAGCACTGGATGGCCGTTTCGTCCTAGTATAGGACTCCTCGGCAGTGCACATCCACGATCCCGCCCTCCTTGAGAGTCGAACCCAGGATCTATCTCTACAGAACCCTTCTGATAATAACTATCTGCTCACTAGTGACTGACTTCAAGAGGCATTTCCTGGAGCCCTAATGAGAAGCCATGACCAGTGCAGTTCAAGCTGGTCTGTTGTGAGATATCAGCTCACCAAAGACAATGGTGACGGTGGCGCGATTTCGTGGATTGGTTGAAGTTAGACATTAACACTATTGGATACCGGCTCAGCGATCTAATGGTTAAGCGCTCGCGCGCGAGACCGATAGGTCCTGGGTTCAAATTCCGTGTGGGAGCGGAATGGTGGATGTCACGGCTGAGGAGTCCTATATTAGGACGAAACGGCCATCCAGTGCTTACAGGTTTTTCATGGTGGTTTAACTACAATTGACTCATGAACTCAACTATTAAATTACTAAAAATCTCCACAAAACCCCCCTTCTAATAAAGATATTTCTTCAGCTCCTTTTATCTGATATACAATAAAAAAACATCAATTTTTCAACATCACTTAAATAATCCGAAATCTCTTAGTCAATTTTGATGATTCCATACCTAAATTGTCCTCTTATATTGTATCCTTTATTCATTATTTATCGATAGAACATTATATGAGTATTGTTTCACTCAACTTGATCTGTATTGATTAGATATTTGATTTGTATATGAAATACTACGATTGTTTGTTTGTTTTCTATAAGGTTACTATTTCTTGTATAAGTAAATCTCTTAAAGTGAAATAAGAATACATATTCTTGGCTATACTCTCTTTTTGTTGTTGTTTCTTTTTTATTTGTTTCTAACATATCGATTAATATGGTAATTAAAGGTGATTATTTTGTTTGTTTGTTTTAAGGGAAAATCTTAATACATACACTGAAGATAAGGATTATTATAACATTGATTAGATTAAAATCGTTAAATTAAAATCTAAATCTATGCTTTTCAATAATCTTTATTTTAATAGTTAACGATTTTTTTTTATTCGTTTATTATGTGATTGAAATTAGCTGACAGGAAAATCTATTTCACCTAGGTTTCTAGATTGGTTGACATACAGTCAGTCAGTCAGTAACAACGTAGGACCTCGTACATACATATGTACATCAGTTCGAGTTGACATACCTCAAGATTACAGTCTTCAGAAAGTTGTAGTTTTCCATGGGATTCATAGCTATGTTACGCAGTTTCATAGTCTATGACAGTGATAATGAGTTAATCGGGCACTAAAAGTCACTTCATTACAAATAACAAGAAATCACTAAATTCAACCATCATTAAACAAAATTTAGAAGTGAACCAAACAGGTTGGATACAACATTGGTCTACAAAACAAGATCATATTTCAAAGCTATGTATTAAGAAAGATTCATTATAATTAAAGATTAAATAGCTAATCTGTTTAGAAGGCATATATTAGTAGTTTTCATGTTAATCGTATTCCATGTTAGTATAATGTGGAAACAAGATAACCATCACTGAAGTATCTATAAGTGATGGATACTTTCTCGAAAAGGATTAAATGATGCCAAATTAAATATGAAAATGCTTGTTTTCAACAATTTGATCCTTTATGACTGAATTCAATATGAGAATATCATCAAACATATTATCTAATAACAAATGAAGAATTTGTTTTTTTCTAGTCAGGTTATTGTGTTCATGGAAATTAAAATCATCAAATCAATACATATGAACTGTGTTACACTGCGAAGAATTATTCACAAAATAATTGGTAATCACTTGTTGTTGACATGTGAATGAGAACACATCTAAAATAGACTGTTATAATATGGTAAGCTTGATAACTGACTGAACTTGAAAATAACACAATCATAGTATAGCATATAGCAATTCATGGTTCTATCCTGTTTGTATATTAGATGAATACTAAACGAGTGCCCAAAACTATGATGAAAAAACTGCTAAGTGATTCATGATTTACAAAAGTTGTGTTCACGATCTTATTGTTAAGTACTTGAAGTAAGAAATCACGACAATCCTAACGATACGAATTAAGAATACAAATAAGTGATACAAATAAAGTTTTCAATAGTTGAATTCATGAGTCAATTGAAGCTAGACCACCATTAGAAACCTGGAATCCTCAGTAGTGCGCATCCTTGATTCAAACCCAGGACCTATCGGTCTCTCCTGTGAGAGCTTAACCAACGGCGTTAATGTCTAGCTTCAACAAACCCTTGAACTTGAACCACCATCCACTGATAGGTCCCGGGTCTCAATCTCGCGAGGTGGGACCGTAGATGCGCACTGCTGAGGATCCCATACTAGGATGAAATGGTCATCCAGTGCTTTCAGGTTTTCCATGGTGGTCTACTTTTGATTGACTCATGAATTAAGTGAAATAACGTCCCTAAAAACAGCTTCTGTTGTTTGTCATAGCATCTTTGTTTCTCTGTTCACATGTGTAACAGATTAAGAATGGACATAAGCTAGTTCAACAGGTACGTTATTCATTTTTGTGTATTTAATATACTCAATAGAGAAAAACACATTCTAAACTCTACTGTTCACCAAAGGCACGTTTTTGAATCTTGTTTGGTTTGAAGATGCTGTATAATACTGATTGATTTCACCTAGATGATAAGCCGACAT